CGTTGTCGTACTTACAAAGTCAAGAGTGAACACACGCGGCTAGACCGTAGGAAGTTTTCCTTCAGCCAGCGGGTTGCCCGACCATGGAACTCGCCACCAGGCGAGATCGTGACGGTCAACACTGTTTGCATGCTTAAAAGAAAGCTTGCTCGCTGGATTTTCGACAGAAACCGGCTCTTACAGCAGGACTTCTCGCAGCCAACTGTGTAAAACACCGTCATACACAACCTTACCGCACTGACTTAAAGTGAACTGATGCGATTGCTTATCATTACGATTGTACTGCGACTTGGTCACATTGTAAATGTCTGCAATTTTATTTTGAGTGCGAATCTGCGAAAGCATTGCACGTAAATAAAGTCATCAAGGGCTCTACCTCTAACCCTTCAAATACATACATATAAGCGCATCCACCGACAGGGGAACGGGTGCTGGAGAACTGCCAGCGCACACCAAGTTGCGAGGGCCATGGTTTGCTGAACCAGGGCCTCGAAGAAGCATATAATCCTCAGAGCCTAAAAGGGTGAGACGTGGCCCTCCATCTGCCTGGGCAATCACCTTTTAAATGTCGGGCTACCAGTCAGTCCTCGACTGAGAGGCACTACCCATATACACACACTCCTCACATGCGTTAGTGGGCCACAGGTGACGTTAGGAAGGAGCCGTTGCAGCCTGGCTCTCAGCCCATCAGTCAGCCATTCCAAACGAACAACACGCACATACGAGCAGCCTGAACTGATTTACGGCGTCAGTCAGCAACCTTCCAAGCCATGACACTTAGCGCAGCATGATAATTTCAGGCTCGGATTACACCTGCAACAAAGGAGCCACATAGGGAGAGGGCCGAGAGGCACACTTCCAGCTTAAGTGAGAGATGGCAATCTAGTGCTTCTTTGTGCGCAATGGGTGATGTTGATGTGTTGTGCAGGTGCTGGTGGAAGAAGTGTGATGGTGTGATATCTCCGGCGGTTGTCTATCACAGGTTATCCTGAATGCACTTGTACCATAATAGGCCCATGCGGTGAGTGAATGTACGGGAACAGTGAGGGCAGTTGAGGCGAATGCGTCAGGCATGTGGGTTCTCCATGCACCGGTTCGCCAGTCTCTGTACAACTATCCGCAAGTTGCCGACCAGGTCGATGTAAGGGGCGAATGCACAACTACAATGAGAACAATAAATGAATAATTTTATGAAGTACCCCTGGGGGTACTATCCTAGAATGTTTGGGACCGAGTTCTCATAATTTGAGATGGGGGACTTGTGGTGATGTTAGCAGATGGTGGGACATCGGACGTAGTGACGGTCGTTATCGAAACGTCCTCACCTGGGCTCACTTTACGCATGAGGTCCAAAACTAGCCTTTCACCGACGTCTATTAGTATGGTATATTTAAGAGTATTGGGCAATGTCTTTGAAGATCCTATTGAAAACTGCACACACGGAATTTAAGCTCAAATGGTCATGTTGCTAAAATGTTGTCCGCAACATACATACCTTACAGAATATTATTTCAACAATGTGAGAGTGTAACCTGAGCACACTTATGAACTCACTACTCGCCTCATGCAAATCGAAAGAATAAACAAAAATGTGAAGAAATCACAGCATCAAGTGTGTGAAGAGCTCGACTCACATAGGTCACTGGTCTTTATGGTTACAGGGTCTCATGTTCCGTTTGTTGCTGCAGCATGCGTCTGTCAAGCCGATGTTTAAATGTCTCTACAGATTGAGGTATTACAATCACCTCGAGAAGGTTATTCCATGGTTCCACGACACGGTTGGTGAAAAAAGTACTTTCTCACATCCAATCATCCTTGGGGCACACGCAGTTTGAAGGGGTGTCCAGGAGGTTTTTATAGTGGCGAGTTGGAATAAATCGTCGCACTGGAGGGTGCAGTCCAAGCCACACACGATAAAAGAAGTTTGTGTCAAGCCTCCGCGCAACTACCTGTAACTCAGAGGACAGCGATTAAGGTTGTTTAGGCGGATCTCGTATGGCAGTGCACCTTGTCCTCTTGCTAATTTCATTGCTCACTTCTGTACCCTTTCGAGTAAATTTTAATCCTGATGCGTCCAGAGTCGCCAGAGCTGAATCGCATCCTGCATTCCGAAGGAACGAGTGACGCACGACCTAGACCTTCTTCATCAGTACGCCAGTGCCGTCCTGAAGGATGGGGAAATATTCACCGTTAAAAAAGCTTTCCGACTAGGCAAAGCGGACCCAAATCGTGACCTAAAAACATCCCCAAGACCCCTGAAAGTTATTTTGGAAAACGAAACCCAAGCAGCGCTTCTGTTAGAAAGTAGAACGACCTTACGCAACTCGCACAAGGAAGTGTTTTTTCAACCAGACTACGAACCGAGGAAAAGACTGAAAATGAGAGAACTGAGATCAGAATTGAAGGAGAGAATTGGCAGAAGAGAGAAAGGACTGAAGATCAAAAATGGACAAATAGTCCAGACAAAGGGGTCTTTCCTGTGGTCAGAACCTGTCACAATGAAGGCCGGGCCTCTTCAACGAGACAGTCATTGAAGGTTATCTCCGCAAAAGTGCACAGCCTCTTCAATAAACTAGACGAGCTAAGAGACTTAGTTGACGAAATTAAGCCAGACATTATGGCATTAACAGAAACGTGATTTACAGAAGATATCGCAGATTCAGAAATATCACCTAGAGGATAGCAGCAATTCAGGAGAGACAGACTAAGCCGAGCAGGAGGAGTCATAAGTAAAGTCACTTGCAAGCTGACCGCTATGGCCGATGTACATAATCCGGTACGGGATGTGGAACTGCTAAGCGTTACCATATTTGCTAAGAATGTCCGATCACTGACGCTTTCGGTGGTGTACCGTTCACCTAACCATGCTTCTGACCAAGATCTCATTTTCATAACCGAACTGTACATAGCTAGCGAGAAGAAAGATGTCCTTATCGTTGGGGATTTTAACGCCCCTGGTATTGATTGGCTAACGTGGACTACACAAGGGCCGCAAGACAGCTTTAATCACAAACTACTACAATGGGCAACGGACAGACTTCTCTGCCAGAATGTTACCTTTGGAACACGGGTTAGGGAAGGACAACAGTCGAACTGCCTTGATCCAATTTTTACCCGAGAGAAGGAAAATGGGTTAGACCTGCAGGACCGGCCGTCATTAGGGTCAAGCGACCAAAACACACTCTACTTCGAGTACTCATTGTTTTCCAAATCCGTTCAACCCGATAGTTGGGAAAGGAACATTTGGAAAAGGAATTATTCTCTCATGAGGAGGGAAGCGGCAGCTGTATCATGGGAGGCTGAACTGTATGGTCGAGCAAACAACAGCTGGAACACTTTCAGTTCCTTACTGGAAGAGATTGTTTATTCCAATTGTCCTCTCAGAAGTATGACAGTCACAAACCGCCCAAAATGGATAAACCCGGACTTAAAGGCCTCTTTCAGAAAAAGGAATCGTCTGTGGGGACGTTACAGACTAACTGGCTCCGAAGAACACTTACAGGAATATAAGCGACAACGAAACGTATGTAAAAGTGAGGCCTCAAAACTGCGAAAGAAGTTTGAACTGAACATACTTCGACATTCGTTGGAGCATCCGAAAATTCTATATGGTTATATACGAAGTAGAAAAAGGACTCAGGAGCCGATCCCTGCCCTTAGGTCTGCAAATGGAAAAGTGGAGACTGATGACTAGGTTAAAGCGTCCCTCCTTTCCGTCTTCTTTCAGTCCGTCTTCACCAGAGAACCTAGTTCTATATTTGCCCATTTATCCGTTTGCCAACCAACCTCTCCTCCCAGTACCCTTCCCCCTCCTACACTCTCCCTACCCTCCTTAACCGAGGAACCACTCTTTTCATCGACCATAGTTAGGGCCGAGCTACTCCGGCCGAAACCCTCCAAATCGCCTGGCCCAGATAGAATTCCCACACAGGCACTTCGTGAACTTGCTAATGAACTGTGCAAACCCTTATCCGCAATATTTCAAAAGTCATTTGAAGACGGCGAGCTCCCGGAAGAATGGAAGTGCGCACTCATTATTCCGATACATAATGGAGGCTCAAGACTTGACTACGGAAATTATCGTCTCGTCAGTCTTACTTGCGTCGCGTGTAAAATAATGGAACGCATTATCAAAAGACACTTGATGAAATACCTGGAACAGAATAAAATATTGTGTGATGCCCAACATGGCTTTCGTCCAGGGCGCTCCTGCCTAACGAGCGTCCTTTACTCGCACGAGAAATGGACACGAGCTACCGATAAGGGTTTTCCAGTAGATGTCATATTTTTTGACTTCAAGAAGGCCTTTGACAGTGTCCCACACAGGCTTCTTTTACAGAAGATCTGGGATGTTGGGATTCAAGGAAGAATGTTCAAATGGATCAGGAGTTTTCTGTCCTTCAGAGTACAAAGAATCGTCGTTGGTAACTCTACCTCGGGATAAGCAAAGGTGGAAATTGATGTCCCACAGGGTTCTGTCTTAGGCCCAGTACTCTTCCTGATTTATGTTGATGACTGCATCAGCGAAGTGAATTGCGAGGCCCTCATGTTTGCGGATGACATAAAATATGGAGTGAAGTCAAATGCGATGATGACGCAGAGAAGTTGCAGTCGAATATCCACAAACTGTGTGCTTGGTCGAACAGATGGCTTTTGAAGTTTAACGTGTCAAAATGTGTGGTCTTGCACCTGAACACCGGCCGAAATGCCTCTCCCAAACACCAATACTATATTGACGGGACGGCGTTAGGAACTGTAGAAAAACACAGAGGTCTGGGTGTATGGACGACCATCAATCTATATTCGTAGTGGCCAATGGAATGCAGCAGGACTGCGTGCTCGCACCTACCACCTCCAGTTTTCTGTTCTCCGTCATGCCATTGGACACCTAACGTGACGAACGCCCCGGGATCTGCGTTGACTACATAATCGATGGGGACCCTATCAACCGCCGGCCAACCTCGACGTGTCTCTCCACAACGACTACCCACAATCTGCTCTTAGCTGACGACTGCACGCTCAACAGCGCTATCGAGGAGGAGATGAAATGGAGCATGGATCTCTTCGCCTCCGGCTGCGCCCACTTCGGACTGACCACCAATAAAGACAGGAAGGTGATCATTTATCAATAGCCATGGACCGCTGAATACACCTGCGCCAACGTCTCCGGACTCAAGACCGTGGACAACTTCCACCACCGCGACAGCACTATGTCTCGCTGCATCAGAATCGACGACGAAATGGCCCACAGGATCTCCAATGCCAACCAAGCCTTCGACCGGCTGCAGGACTCCGTATGGGATTGCCACGACCTCCAACTGAATGCCGAACGGAAGATACACAAACTCGTCTTCCTGACGACACTTCTGTACAGGGCAGAGACTCGGACCGTCTACTTCAACCCTGCCAGGAAGCTCGGCCTCCTCCATCTCAGCTGGCTTCAGAGAATATTAAGCTGAGACAACAAAACATGATTCCCGACACGGAAGTTCTAGAACGGACCGGAATCTTCAACATCCCCGCCATGCCGAGGCAAATGCGGCTGTGCTGGCGCGGCCATCTGTTGAAGGTGGGAGATAGACGGCTGCCGAAACACCTTGTCTATGGTGATGTCGCCGCCAGCGCTCGCAGACCAGGAGACCTAAAACGACGCTACAAGGACACGTAGCAATCCATGCGAAGCTTATCTGGTCTAGTCAGAACTGTCGACTTATGCATATTAGCCGCGAGTGAACCCCTGTTCCGAAGGGTTTTCCGCAATCGGCCAACACTCGGTGAAGACAGGAACGCAAAATATACCCGGACTCTAAGCCGCTTTTTGAAAAGTAGCACAGGGCCTTTGGGACTTGTTCCCGACTCTACGATTTTGCACTTACTCCTAAGTAACTTAAAATCACAGTTTTACCTTTGAAAGGTTACTAACGGTCTAAGTACTTTGGTGAGCATCCAGTATCAACCAACAGTGGCCGACGAATGTTGTGCGGCACGATTTTCGTTTGCTCAGCTACGCGGTTAAGCTGAATTATTGACGTGGTGACGACGTGTGGTTGTGTTTAGGCTGAGATGAGCGCACTCCGTTTACTATATGTCAGAGCCCATCTCCGATCGTCTTGCTGTCGGAAACATGTGGGTGAGGGAGGAGAGACTGCGGCAGATGCGACGCAAGTGCGCCTCACTAGGAACTGATCCTCGCGCAAGTCGCCAGTGAGGTGAGTAATCGGTGGGCAAACGACGGACGTTGGCGCAACCGGAAAGACTGACGGTGGCCTAGATTAATCGGCGAACATCAAATTATCGATCAGTGTCAGAATTCATGTCCTCGTTTCTTCTCCAGGCCTCCTGCGAATGAATCCAGTTAACGGCCTTACAAAGATCACAGGACCATCTTCAGCAATCTGTCTTCCTGAATCAAAGCCTCGGGGTAACTACCGGCCCAAATAAACAGGATATTGGCCTTCATTAGAGGGGCAAATATGCAGAAGCAGACCTCCATCGACATTGGGTCAGAATAAGCGACTGGTACAATAAATCGGAGTCTGTAGCACTGATAAAATGCGCTCTGTCTTATTGACTACAATTTCGAATGATGTACCACGGTGTGAATTCAAAATGCAGATTGAGTGGAGCTCTGATTTAACGACAACAGATTCAGTGGAGTTGTAATGCTCTTCACTAATACCCATAGGCGTTTTCTAGTGAGGGCGGATGTGAATCGCATTGTTCGACCTCCCTCGCTTTCTTATAGGAGTGTCAGTTTCTACAGAGAGTCACACACAAAACTGAAATCGTGACTACAACCTAAATACGAAGACTCATGGCCATCTAAGGCAGGTATAAATGAAAATGTTACCTATGAAAGGCGCGTCCGGCATTTGAGCCGAAGAGTTGCGGAGCTGGGCGGATCGGGAAATACCAAACTGTCCTTAGCTGGTCGTGCGCAGACGTCGCAGTGAACGGGTTGGCCCGATGTCGTCCCGCGAAACGCCTACAATTCAGGCGTCAGCCTGTAGGCCGTCCTGATAGGGGCGTAAACTACACCCTAGTGAGAAAACATCATTCAACCTTGGTCTTGCTCATCTGCAAACAAAAATTTACGCACCTCGGCCTTGCAGCTGCAGCTGACATAGGCGTTTCCTCCCAAAACGCACGTCTGTTAAGTCTGCCAGTCAGTCAAGATAGAAAACAAATCGTTGGGTGGCCGAGATGGGGGCTAGGTGAAAGCCGAGAAACCAGCGTTTGAGACCGACTCATCACCACTACTTACTTCCATTCAGTAGGTCGAATTAATTTAACTTAACGCTTAAGAGGCCCTGGGTCGATACACGCGCGCTGCCGATACCGGTGGCTTATTGCAGTTATCCAACCCTTTTCGCGTATCGTAAATGCTAAAGTCATATCAGCGGCTTTGAGGGCTGGCTTAAAATGATAAACGGACTTTGGCTGATACGTTATCTGGTGGGCTACCATCACCCTAAACTCGGACTACCCCTGTCATTATTATCATTAAATCACACCAATGACCTTAGCGATCGGAACGCAATGGCGGACCCACTTTCGGTAGTCGGGCTACCAACCCAGTTACCAGTATCTCTGTTTGAAGTGGTATTCTGTCATCATGTCAGCGTACTGTGGCCTCTGCAGTCGCCACAAATGCAGCACTGAATATCCAGTCGTGTCAATCTCGGGAATGGTTGCTGGAAAAAGCTAATCAGCTGCCTGAACAAATTACATACAATTGGTATGCAGTTCTATAGATTAAACTCCGCCATAATCTTGAATGGTGAACTTCAGATACCGCGGGCGTCCTCTTCTGCTCACATAGGAAAACTTGAACAATGGAATTCAGAAAACACGAATCCGCGGTTCCGCGCGATTTGCGTTGCTAGACGCCGTCAGCTTACTCTCCTCACCTCAAATAATTTCGCTTTCCATCATTCAGATATTGCAAGTGGTTCAGTTAGTAATAAACCAATTTGATCATGTAATGAGATAACTGATCAAGATGAAAGTCGGTCAATCACAAGTATCGTCGGCCGCAGACTCACGATGAAAAATACAATAAAGGTACAAATTTGGCACAGAAATCGCGGATGAAAAGATGAGCAGTGGGTGTGAGGCAGATGGGTTAGCTGGAGGGCCTATCAATTCGGACCAGTAAGTCCTGCCAGGCACGCTCCACCTGGCTCCTCGTAAAAGACACCTCCCATTCAGAGCAAAAGACAACATTGGATTGGGCGATTGGGCCGGTGTTGGAACCGCGCTGGCAGGCAGTCCACCAATCAACTCGACCGTCACCCACTGCCGACTTCACACCAGCCGACTGTGAGGTCAGGCGACTCTTGGCCTCCTCAAGGGCGATTTTCTGTCGTTCGGCCAGCCGTCGTTCGCAGGTGTCCCGTGGAACATAGGACACCCAAACCTTGGAGGAAAGGGGAGGGGGCAGTCAGGCAAGTGATGGTAGAATAATGCATGTACTGTGGTAGGGGGCGCTCATCGATCGGTCTTACGGAACGAGTGAGTTCCGTAAGAAAGATCGGTCAGCGCCCCCTACCACAGTATATTCCCGACAGGGCGACGGGTTCGTGGCCCAGTGGTTAGAGGCGTGGACTTCTAACAAACAGGTCGCGAGTTCGAGCCTCGGGTGTTCCACACTTCGGGGTTGGGCATGACTGGCTGACGACGGCTAATAAGCCAGAAATGGCCATTCCAGTCTCCCTTGTCTTCTCGGTAATGCCATTCTGCCAATGCATGTACTGTTGGGACGTTAGCATACAGTCAGAAAACCTCAGTTTCATGTCAAGTGAAGTAGGAGTCATAGTAATCTGGTTAGTATGACATCTCAGACGTTGTCGTGGGTTTGACATCAACAGAAGTAAGGAATCGCGCGACCACATATGCGAAAAACGGGTAGAAAATATGGTTGCGGAAGACAAGGAGAGTCCAACGGTGGGGTGGATATGAGCCGCGAGTGAACTGTTGTTCCGAAGGGTTTTTCGCAATCGGGCAACACTCAGTGAAGAGAGGAACGCAAAATACACCGTTTTTTTGAAAAGTAGCATAAGGCCTTTGGGACTTTTACCTAACATTGATTCCCCTGCCCAGGGAAAATCTCAGCACAGAATACGGTAATGGGAGGTCATTGCTCGGGGGTCACGGCAATCACCTCCCGTTACCGTATTCCGTGCTGAGATTTTCCCTGGGCAGGGAAACCAGTCACGTGGGGAGGGTGCGGGCGGCCCTTATCTCAGTGACAGTGAGCCAATTTGCCGAGCCATCGTCACGCCGGCATCCAACACGAATGACGAAATCACGGCAATTAATGACTCGGACGCGGACTGACAAGCCACCACCGCATCAATTACGACCCCAGCGGTGATTGCAAGAGCTGTTAATTACAGTAGACATATGGTCCCACGGTAGTCACGTGTCATAAATACTGCATTCCTTGTGCCACCATTACCCTTAATTGCAACTGTCTCTGATGATGGGTTCGAGAATCCGAAAAGTCAGGCCCATAAATTTATTGTTCCAGCGATCGCATCTTCGTCTTCTAAACTGCTGCCTGGAACTCGTCTGTTCGCTTCTATAAGCAAACTCAGGCGTTGTCGTGGGTTGGAGGAAAGCCAGATTTATGGGATCGAAATAAAGCTATCTGCGGGCCCGAGCGCTGCTACAGTATCACTAGGACGTCGAAAGTACATCCAGTACTAACAGTTTATGTCAACATTTTTCAGTTGAAGAACTATTCTTTAGCAACAAGCTAGCAGGGGTAGGCTCCTGGACTGTTCAGAGCCAAAGCATAAAAAGGACTTTTCCACTCTGACCATTTGATCTAGCTTGAGTTGGTGCAGACAAGTGGGCTTATAAGAAGGCTTCAAAGACATCAACAGAAGTAAGGAAACGCGCGACCACATATGCGAAAAACGGGTAGAAAATATGGTTGCGGGAGACACGGCTTTCGGTGGGGACTCTCGGGTCTAAGAAACCAGTACACAGGGACAGCGTAGAGGTGATATACTCAGGTATAGCTGGGCACCGAAGAGCCAAAAAAACCCTGCTACATCAGGAGACGGTGTAATTCTTCCTCGGAATCTCACAAGGCCTCACGGCCACCGTCTGGGATTATCCCAGAAGCTTAAACGGGAGGGGGGGTCGAGGCGTCCGCCCTCGAACTCAGGATCTGCAGGGAACCAACCTTACACTATCGCCGAGCGCGGAGCAGAGACGCCTTCTGGTAAAACAACAAGAACAATGAGCTCTTGCTGTTTGCGTAGTGCTGTACAAACATCGTTCTAAGTAAGCAGTTTTCATTTGCGTGCTGAATGTTCTTTAACGACCGGCCTCGAAGGATAGGGTTATGGGCTGTTGAGGGCTAGAATATGACAAATTCCTTCCTAGTTTAATCATACGGATACGATGGCCGACTGAA